ACACCAGGGACTAAGCTGAGGTTGGAGAGGAGGGACCAACAGCCTAGAAATCTTGGAAAATAAATCAGTGTCTTGCCCAGAACAGTGCTTGTGTACATGGTATATAGAAGGGAATAATGCTATAGGAATCATTCTGAGTTTGCCTTGCTGACTTTGAGGGATATAAGATTCTGAGAGACAGGAAGAGGGTCCTAGAGTTGCCCCTGTAGAAGGGAATTCAGTGTGGACAGGGCCTAGGCATGACCTCAGGAGGAAGCCTGACAGGCCCTGGCAAAAGCAGAGCCTCTCAGGGGCCCAAGGGGACTTTGTCACAGACCGTGGAAGGTTCTGAGGTTGGATGTGAAAACCCTGTGAGGTTGCAGAGAGTGACCATCTGTGTGGGCCTAACAGGCTCCTATATGACATGGAAAATAGGATCAACCCCATTGGCTTTGAAAATACACGAAAGGGCCCAAACTGGTCATTAAGGAGAATGGGAGGGTCTGAGGTGTACTTATGCTCTTCAAAGCTAATATTTTTCCTATACAGATGAAATTATTAGGATTGAGCAAGATACTATTCAGTGGAAAAACTGTAAGGATTGTATTTGTAGATAAAAGAGTTCTTTTAAGGAATGTAAACTAGTAAGAGCTACAGAGATAACGATAGCTAGTAGATGCAATTTGAGCTTTCCAGCTTCTAAAATTGCCAGGCAGTGGAGACAGCATTCTCCCAGTCCCTCTCCTATCCCTCATTTCCTGTAAAAATCGCTGCACGCTTGTTCAACCATGGCATGTTAATTATCCCCTCTGTGCATCAGTGTCTTTCCCTGTAACTGGGGATTATAATCCTGCCTACCTTCTGGAGTTGTGGTGAGGATTAAAAATGTTAATGCATGCAAAGTTTAGAACTGGGTCTGGCATTTCGTATTTACCCAATAAATGTTAGCTAGCTTTATTATTTGCATCATTCACATGTTAATAAGAATGTCAAAGCTGAACGGAGCTGTAGAGGCCATCTGGGAAACATTTATGCAGAAAATCATTTTTAAGCTGGGCCTTGGAAAATGGATAGGATTTCGATTGGTAGAGAAAATAAGGGAGAAGACATTCCAGGCACTGGGAATAAAGATGGAAAGATATAAGCAACATCCAAGAATGGTGAGCAGACCTATTTAGCAGAAACTGGATGGAATGTGTAGGAGAGGGATGGAAAATAAGCCTGAAAGCTAAATTGAGGGCACATAATAAGGAATACAAAATTCATTCTTCTCTCAGCAATGAAAACCAAGACAGATTTCACTTGCAACCCTCTGCAGTTTGGCTTTGGTCTTCCCAATTTACGGAATATTTTCTCTGAAAGGTCTTCTAACACTGTGCTTCTAAAACTTCATATAATATAAACCAATGACTTAGGGCCTTTCTAAAATGCAGATTCTGATATGATCGGTGTGGCATGAGGCCTGAGATTCTACATTTTCAACAAGCCTTCAGGTGCTACCATACTCTTTCTTACTGCTCACCATGGACCACAACTTGAGTACCAAAGGTCCAATACAGCGACCTCTTCTCATGCTCATCTTTATCCCCTTTACAGTGCTAGGCCTTGTTGATATTCCTAAAGCTCTCATCATTGGCTTCTCTCTGACTTAAATCTTATGCTATTACTTGAAGCTAAGAACACAGACTAGAAGCCTGCTCTGTAAAAATCTAGTACATATTGAATCATCTTGAGCACAGCCTTCATCACATAAGACAAAGTTGCCATTGGTAACAAGATCTATATATAATAGCTATAGCTACAATCTCAAGACCAGTCTTTAGATGTGTATTGTCCAAGCAACTGTCAATGCATCAATCTCTTTAGTCTTTTAAATGAAAATATTACAAACCATCTTCTAATAAAAGGCAGGCATATACTGTCATAGAGAACATCTATTGCCCATCTCATGATCCATCTAGTTTTTTCCTCTGAAAAATAATCTTCCCTAAGGTTCCCCAACCTACATGCCCCACCAGTCTACATAGGGATTGGCTACAGCTGATTGCTGCAGAGGTGGGCCCCTGCCAAAGCTGGGTTATTTTGAGTCTTTACCCCAGGATTCTGGACTAGAACTGAAAAAAAAAAAAGCAAGTCAGTCTCTTGTTCTCTGCAAGGAACAGAAGCCAAGAGCATGTATACTTAGAATCTGCTATGGACCACATTCTGCTACATGGACGGGAAGAGCAGAAAACAGCAGTCAACTATAAGAAAGTAGACTGATATGGACACCAGGAGAACACAGGGAAATAGCTACACAGCATGGCATATATCCCCATATATACCCACATAGGCTGGGTAGGCAAGGCTCGACCACAGTCTGGCCTGAGTCTACAGAATGCCCTGTAGTTTCTCCAAGTGAAAGTGAAGGTAAGCAGCCTGTGAAGAGCTACTATGAGGCAGTTTCTTTACCCTATCTTGTGGAAGATTGCCACAAGGCTATTTTCCCATCCATCTCTCTAGTTTCAGTAGAGCACAAGACTTTCCACCTTACCCCATGTAGATTACAACTGCAGACTTCAGCATAAGTCTATAAAACTGCTTGGCTGTGGTTTAGAGGTAGGTCCTCAAAAGCAGAGTGACCCACCACTCATAACACCTATCCTCTGGCCTTTAGTTCAATGTTGTCTGTGGTACTAGTACACAGGGAACTGGTACCATGATGACTTGCTTTTGCTGTCTGTGTAAGTAATAAACTCTCTGAATCTCTTTGGCATGTTTACTCCTTACCAGGCAAATTCGTGAAACTATGGCAAGCTATCCTAACAGCTGTAGTAGTAATACTTGTGGCCCTATTATTCTCACCTCCCTGCTGCCTTGGGAATGCTTGACCACTTGAGAAAGAGAAGAGATGAAAACAAAAACAAAAGCAAAAACAAAAACTAAAGTCAATTGACATATTTACTCAACTTCCAAACAATAAAGATTGAAACATTTTAGTTCAAAAAAAAAAAGAGAGAGAGATGGCAGTTCACTTCCTGAGTTCCCCTCAGTGCTTCAGCCCCTGATTTCAGTTTGTTCCAGGAATGCAGCCCAGACCTTGAATTCCATCAGATACCCTGCTATCTTTCCAATAAACCTCCCAGTTTCTTTTTTATTTTCCCTAAGAAAGCCAGAATGTATTTTTGACCTTTATAACCAAAAGGTCATATAACACACAACACACACACACATGTTATAGTCAATGTCAGTATCAGTAATTAGAACTGAGTGCCAGAGAACCAAATGCATTTTCTGTTTTTATTAAAATTCTACCTTTCTGGTATATTGATTGCTTTCTGGCCCTTGACCTAGTTTATGTAATAGTGTTAGTCTACATTTATTACAATGCAATAAACAAAGTTTTATGAAAATGCTTTTAGTCAAGTAAAAGAAAACATGACTCTATTTTACTATTGTGAAAGTACAAAATATACAAATCAACTATGCAACTACTTTTATCTTATAAATGTCCTAATTTTCATTCATATTAGTTACAATTGTAAGAATTATGATGGAATCACCTATTATGTTTGTGATAAATACTTATATAACAAAACAGTGTTAGCAGAATTACAGTCTGATCCACTTTTAACATTCTTTGAGGTTAGCAGTGCCTAATAGATAGCATGATTATCTAAATCAATATATAGATACCTTATGAGTCATTAGTCATAGCTTAGGATATTGATCAATTAGCTTCCCTTTCCCTTTGAGTTTTCTTTGATCACAAGGCAGGTGATCAGCTGGCAGAGCCTTGGACATTTTGAAATTTAACCTAATAGTGAATAAATTGGTGCCAATTCATCATCACTACTGGGAAACAAGTAAAAAAGTAAGCAGTGGGGCCACTGTCATCATAATAATGAATGGACATTACACAATTACCTATAAGAAAAAAATACCTCTATTGTTATATTAATAGAATGACATCTTTAGGAAAGTGTGCAGATTATAAAAGACACATCTGGTGGCTTTGGTACCCCTGAGATGCAAGCAGTTCATGACATAATGATAACTAAACATAATTTTCAGTAGTCCCTTATAAAAAGTCCAAATTTGTTTGAAAATAAGGAAAATTTTACCTAGTCAAAGTTAACCATTAAACATCTTCTAGTCCTTGTCTTAATATGATTTATTAGTTACCATAAGATAATTTATTAAAAGAATAGCTGCATTTATAAAATGTTTTATGGTGATGAGCCAGTTATGATAATTACTTTACATATTTATAATAAAAATGCATCACAGTATGTAAGATTAAATTTTCAACCAACTCATAACTTATATTTTAAATATCTTTAAATTACGTGTACATGACGTTATCTTACGGTTACTAACTTTCTCCCGCCACATTTAACGGTAATTATTTCCAAGACTAGTTATAATAGCTTTTTTTCTAAAGGTTTTTTTCCCACAGCATAACTCTCCATAAATTGTGGGCCCATTATATCAAAGGTGTTTATATGTGTTAACATATGCATTTGATTTTAATGTGCCTACATAAGGCACAAATGTCCCCGAGCAAGCAGAGTGTACAACGAGAAGCCCTGAGTCCTGAGGTAAGTACCTTGATGAGGGAGGCAGGATTTATGTAAGATCTGAGCTAACTTGTAAGTCTACAACTGACAGCAAAACTAAGACGAAACTAGAACATTTTCAAGTAAAATAGCCAGCAAGGCAAAAAGGACTCCTTAAAGTTGCGGGCCTTGGGGCTGCCACCCTGGCTTTCTAGGCTAGGAACAGAGAAGGCCGGACGGAACCCGAGAGCGGCCCGCGCGGGCGCCGCGGCTACTTTACCTGAGGCACCCGGCCTCCGCCGCCCGCTCCCCGCCTCCTTCGCTCTCGCGCTTCACCGGCTCAAGCGTTGCGCCGGGAGCGCGGAATTTTGAGGAAGAGGGCAGAATTTCGGTTGGGACACTTGTCCGGGAAATGTTGTCGGGACTCGCCGTAGGGAAAGCGACTAGCCTCGGGCGGGGCGGGGAGGGGCGGGGCGGCCTTACCAGCGGAACCACCGGCCACGATCTGCCGAGAAGCCTCGCGCGCTAAGCCGACTTCGGGCTTGGCCGACATCTTCGAGAGCTGTGTGGGCGAGGTCGCAGCTGGAACGCTGGTCTGCACAGCCTCTCCTGATACAGAGAGCAGGGGCTGGGGTTGTTCCTCGGGCCCAGTGGCCTCTTGTGGGGCGGCAGTGCAACAACTGCTGGAAGGCAGAGGTCCAGGGCGCAAATTTGCCCCCGATCTCCGATCTCCGGCTGGTCGGAACCTGTCCGCTGCGGTCCTTCTGGGCCGCCCTTTGCTCACAGGTCACTGGTGAGAAAACTCGCTGATGGAGGTGGGTTAGCCCACTGCTGCGGGTCAGGCTTGGTCTCCTAGATTGACGCTCAAAAGCTTCCCTATCAGGAGCCTCCCGCAGTTTGTCAAGCTGGACGCGCTGTCTCTGATAACGCACGTGAGGTGAACCGGGCTTGGAGTTCCAAGTGCAAGGCTGGGGCGACCCTTGTTTCTTTTGGCAAGCCCAGAGTACAGAGCATTTCGAAAAGAGGGACTGGTAAAAGATTTTCTCGGAGTTAGTTGTCCTGAAAGTGTGGACTGTAGCAACTAAGTCAAGTCAAAGCAAATCCAATTTACAATTATCTTAATAATTGAGCTAATGTACTACTTTACCAAAAATGGTTTTGATTTAAGAGAATATATCTCATACCTCAACAACTTGAGTTTTGCCTACTGAAAGACCCAAAAAGAAAAAGAAAAAAAAAAAGAAAAGAAAAAGCCTGGTTACAATAAGTCTCCTACATCCAGGTTAATGGTTCTCAAAGTTTGGTTTTAGTACCCAGCGTTATTAGCATAATTTGTGAATTTGTTACTCTCTGGGGATAGGGCCCAGAAACTTGTGTTTTAACAATTTTAAAAAGTTCTTTGGTGATTGTTATGAATGTTAAAATTGTGAATCACTGACCTAAATCATGAAGGAACTTACAGTCTATTCTCTCTCTAAAACGTTTCATTATTCATACTTACCCCTTACCATAGTTAGCAAAACGAAAATACAAATTTCTACTATTTTTAAACCACAAGTTGCAAATGCTATGTAGAAGAGATACAAGATTGTGAACTTTTAGAAAAATATCTGCCACACCTCTAACAGGCAGGAGATGATAAGAGTAAACGGGAGAATTGAGAGACTTTGGAACCTCTCTTGTCATATTTCAAATGCTAAACATGTTTAGTTTGAGCCATATAAAATTGCCATTTTTGAAGGTCAAAACCATTGAATAGCAGCAATTTAGTATAGTTCAACTTAATACATATGATTTCCAATCAAATGTACAGAATACATTTTATTAATACAAATTAGTCATTTTTATTTCTTAGGCCAAGCCATTAAAAGTTAGTGATATCTGACTGGCAAAATTATTTAAAGTGTTTGAGGAATTGGAAAAACTTACTGTTTATGTGATCTGATATGCAAAAATAAAGTTTCTCATTTGATTAAATATTTTATTAAAATTGCTAAGTTTGAAAATGTTTACCAAGAATGATTTTCAGAAATTTTTCTAACTGGATAGAATAAAAGCTTTTGAGCAACATTTTTCAGTCTTTTACTAACATTGTATCTTGAGTGCATTAGAGAATCACTTATTCAACAAATATTGAGAACCTATTGTATAATAGGCATAGAAACAGAATTTCAGAATTTCCATTTCATAGGAAATGTTTCTCTCATTTTCCAAAGTGAAAACTGAGTTTTCCAAAATCACACCAAGAGTAATTTAGGCTTCCTTCTTCTGATAGTGAATTGTAGATTCAAATATTAACCCCAGGCTTAACAAACTACATTCTGTCACACAGAAACCTATAATAGTTAAATGCCCCCCAAATTAATTTCATATATTTGTATGTAAGTAGAGAATTTTTTAAGTTTAAAAAATATTGGTCACAATTATTAAACCCCAAGGCACAAACTGAACCAAACTGTACGTTCATTGAGAGCTTACTAAGTATCAGCACTTTCCTAGATACTACTGACTGTGGGGGCAGTGTTTGAGGCAAGCCCTCGGAGGAGATTAGCTACTTTTCCCCTAGGAGCCAAGTCCCTAAGATAGGGGTTGCCACAGAGGATAAGGAAACTGATAGGAAATAGAGAGAATAAAAGAATACATAGAGACTAAGTATAGTTTTATATAAAAAGATCAGATATAATATAGCGGGGTACTCAGGAGACTGGTGTATCCTTATGAATGCCAGCAATATGTTTAGATTTACATAGGTTTTTATAATCATAGACATCAATTACCAGTTGTCAGGGTAACATTTGCATATCAGGGAATGCAGTTGCTAGGGGATATAGGTAATGGGTTGGGGTCAAAAGTCCTCTCAAAGGGCTTCTAATCTATTTAGGTGAACAAACAACTACAAAGTCTTGGGGGCTAACTTCTAAGTTCTAACAGGCAGTTGTCAATTAACAAAGGTATAATAAAAGAGGTATAGTGAATTTATATTTCTTTGATTAGTTATTATGGACTTAAAGGTTGACACATTGGAGAGAGCAAGAAACCCATCTATAACAAACAGGTTGTTTATAACCATTGGGGCGCATCTTTGGGCAAAGTGCATTCATTGTCTCCGGCTTCTATCCTGCGGGTCATATTTGTCTTGTCTTTCAAGACATAGAGAAGCTCACAGATTTTGAGATACCGAGAAGCCTTCCTGGAAAACACCCCAACTGGAGATTTGAGACCTCTCCCATGATAGCAGCCTCTAATAAGTGAACCATTGAGTCCATATATTTCTTTAGAGCAAAACCCTGCAAACTCCTGTTTCTGTCTTTAATATAGTAATATAAGGTTATACAATAAAATAATGATCTTATGAGCCACATCTCGCTAATTCCTCAATCATATTTTCCCAACAGCTAACAATATAACTAAAAATCCACTCCCTACTTGTCACATGTATAATCTAATGGAGGAGATCCTACTATCTTGCAGTGTAAGTAAATTTTTGCCTTCCCTAGATTATTCAGGAAATAATACATTTAGGTCAAGATTTTTTTAGACAGGGTCTCACTATATTGTCCTGTTTCCCAGGTTGGCCTCAAGCAATCCTCCCAGCTCAGCCTTCCAAGTAGCTGGGATTACAAGTAAAAGCCACCACACCTGCTAGGTCAAAATTTAAAGACAGCCTTTTGACATCATTATTTCCATGAGTATCTTCACCTCTGAAGATCTCATCTGGAGTAGGAGGGTGCAGGTTTGTGGTCTAAGACCCCAGCCTCTCAAGAGCCCTATGGATTCAGTCAGAAAACTCTCCCAGATAGCCTTTCAAATAACCCTGTTAAAAAATTGCCTCCTCTTTTTTACCTGTCTGGACTAGACTAGGTATCTTTAAGTGAAAAAAAAGCAAGGCCTGATATCACATATAATCCAGCCCAAACCTCTAGAATAGTTGCAGAGATGCTGCCTAGGCATAAGAACATTCTGGAGTTTGGGAGTCAGCAAGAGCCAATTCAGAGCCAACAAGTACCCACTGCGCTAAGAGCTCTGATTATAGAATATATCTCTTATCTGCAGTTAAATTTGCTCATGGCCAATATTGGAATGCTAGAAGGTTTAGCACTGGGGAACAAGGGTAATATTTACTTGACCTACTAGATTCCCTAGATTCAATTCATTACATTGTTCTTTCTGTTATTATTTTGAATAATGATGTAATGGCTTACAGTAAGAGCAAAACTGCTAAAGTATCAAGCTTAAACTTTTAAAATTGATTTATTTAGCTGATCTTTGTTGAGAATTACATAATTAAATTTTTTTCTTTATCTAGAGAATTAAACAGTGGTTACCACAAACAAGGGTAGAGGGAGGAATGGAGATGGGAAGAACAGTCAAAGGAAACAAAACAGCAGACATATAGGATAAACAAGTTTAGAGATGATGAGGACTACAACATGAGGAGTAAAACTAATAAAATTATATCTTGCTTCTTAAGGCAGGTAGGAAAAAAAGAAAAATTGCATTATATTAGGGATTTTTTGTTTAAAAAGTATTTAATAGATTTTAGCAACTCTTATAACAAACACAAAAAGTAACTATGTGAGATGATAAATTAATCTGATTCACTGTAGTAACCATTTTACTATCTGTATGCATCCTATAACTTCATGTTGTAAACCTCACGTATACACAGTAAAAATAAAAATGTACTTTTTAAAGAATAGCACTTTCCCCCAACTTTCTTCATTCTTTATCCTGATTTATTTTTCTTCATTGTATGTTCAGCACCTATAGTCTGTGTTTATTTGTATATTCTTTGTCTTTTCTACCTCTTTAATGTGAAGTCCATGCAAAAATAACTGGCTACTCCCTGGCACATAGAAGGAATATTATTTAGTGATATATATAATATTACATAAATATTATATATATTAATAAATATTAATGTAGTGAACGAATCACAGTTATCCCAGATGAACACCCTCTATTCATTAAGTAATCATTCCAATTTCCCTCTCCTTTATCCCATGGCAACAATTAATATGCTTCCTGTCTCTATGGATTTGCCTATTCTGAATATTTCATATAAAAGGAATCATACAATAATATGTGACCTTTTGTATTTGGCTTTTTGAAGTTAGCATGTTTTCAGTAGTCATCCAAATGGTAGGATGTATCAATATTTTGTTTCTTTTTATGACTGGATAATATTCCATTTATCACAATTTGTTTATCCATTCATCCATTGATGACCACTTGACTAATTTCCACCTTTATGCTACTATGAAGAATGCTGCTATAAACATTTACATACAAGTTTCTATGTGGACATATGTTTTCTTTTCTTCTCTTGGACATAGCAGTGGAATCGCTGGGTCATATAGTAATTCTATGTCTAACTTTTTGAGGAATTACCAACCTTTTTCTAAGCAGCCGTACTATTTTACACTTCTGCTGTCAATGTATGAACATTCCTATTCCACAACCCTCCCAACACTTGTTATTTTCCATTTTTGATTATAGCCAGCCTAGTGAAGTGATATCACATTGTGGTTTTGATTTGCCTTTCCATAATGACCAATGAAGTTGGCATCTTTTCATATACTTGCTGGCCATTTATATTCTTTGCAGAAATATCTGTTCAAACCCATTGTTCATTTTTTAATTGAGTTGCTTGTATTTTGTTGTTGAGTTGTAAGAGTTGTTTTATATTCTTGATATTAGGCCCTTATCAAATATGATTTGC